ACTTGCGTTTTTATGTGGAGCAAGAATTCGTCGCCAAGAACCCGGGTGGTCTTCCATTTTAGAAGACGGAGACGCTGGACGATGGCCGCAGCACACATTAGTAACGGCGGCCGACCACCACACAACAACAGCAAGCCACAATTAATTATGTACTTTATGAAGTGTAATATTCTGAATAAATTCTAAAAAAAAACATTAGTTGTTCGATATTTTTTTGTTTTTCAGTAATCTTATAGTAAAACACAAACATAATTAATACAGTAGACTATATGACCATACCATTTTATATATAGTATTTTCAAGAAAAAAAATACATCTTTATTAGCCTATAGCAGACGTGGCCAACTTTGATAGACCTGCGATCGACCTCCGAGTTTTTCTAGGTGGTCGCGATCGACCAAAAAAAAATAAAAAAAGGTTGTCAATAAACAAAAAATATATTATGTGTACAGGCGTGTTACACTTATTTAATTACTTTTTATTTACAATATAAATTCACAGTTTAACACTATAACACTACACGTATTTTAATATATTTGATTACAAATTATTATTTTTAACTTATTACTATTTACTACTATAACTATACTACTACTTTTATAATTATTACTATTATTATGTTTATTTAATCATTCAATGAGATGTTTGTGCTTGCATTTGATTTGATAATTTCACAAACTCTGGGGTGTATGATGACAATGCTAATCTCAAGCTATCTTCAGATGGCATATCAGTCAAACGTGATCGGGCCTTACTTTTTGAAGCAAGTACGAAAAGGCCGATTCACATAGATATTTATTGTCTTTTTCTAAATCTAATTTTTATATTCGTGGGATATACAAAGATACACAAATTGTTCAAAAATTGAAGAAAATGCGAAAGGGTGTCGCGATCGACTTGAATTCATCTCGCGATCAACCGGTTGGCCACCCCTGGCCTATAAGATATGATTTTACTAGACTTAAATAGGTTATATTTTTTATTTTTATTTCCATTGATATATTTTTGTTATTATTTGTTTTATTGGTGCAGTTATTAATATAATGCATCAAAGTATACACTAGCTAACTATCTTTGCTAGATCTAGAGTACAGGTACCTACCTGGTTGGTTTCTTGGTGTTAAAATAACGATGTGATGTACGATTAATTGTTGCGCACTAATGTGTGCAGTGAATACCGTATAATATGTATTTAATGCGAAATATTGCATTTGTCTGTGCCAGAAGAACAGGTTTTAAGGATAATCTAGGTTTTATCTATAATATAAATTTGACTAATTCATTATGTATGTTGTATGTACCTAATTAAAATGTGTTAATAAAATTAAAATTACAGTGTTTAAATTCAAATTGAAAATCTCATGATACCCAGCAATACTTTCCATATTCAAATTTGAATAAAAATTCATTCTTCGCTCCGTTTAATATCTAAGACACGATACTACGATAGTATCAGTTTAGAATAATTACAGTTTTAAGGATAAATATTTAAATTTAAATAATATTTAATCATTCAGTTTAATTTTATGAATACAACAATTTATATTTATGAAATTTTCATATACTAGTCCATTGTGAAATGTATGTAGTATGTATATACCTACGCTTATCTAATTTAATTTACTCTCTATATTATATATACTATATACGTTTAGCATTATAAGAAGAAATTATCTTGAAAAATAAAAATTTTGCAATATTTGTCTATGAAAAAGTAACTAAACTGATAAAAAAAAAATGATAATTTTTACAAACATAAATATATTTTGAGATAACATTGTAATAAATTCATCTCATTTGTGTAGGCAATATAAAATGCTAATATGTATTTTATGTTATCGGTTACAAGGTAAGAAAATAAATAATGACCTGTTTTTTTGCAAAAATAAGAAAATAAAATATAATTTATTACAGTATTAAGTAAAACCCCATCGTGTTATAATATTTCAGTACATTTCAGTTTAAAACATGTGCTGACGACTCATTTATGTCTTCAGTGTTATACAACTGATTGTTTTTTATCTAAAATATGTGAATTGTGATTCATTTTTCTAATAAAAAAATATTACATTTTTTATAAGAAGTATACATACTTTTGATTTTTGAATTTCTATAGAAATCTTCATGGATATTGGTAATTACCTATTTAAAGTTACTAATCTTAATTTTATTTTCACTTATTTTTTGTTGCTAATAAAATTATACTAATAATATTGTTATTTTATAACAGGCATATTATTGTTTATTTCATGTAATACGTTAAATAATTTTTGTCTTAAATATAATGAAAACATCTTCTAAAAAAATATAATGAAGTTATAATATATCCATATGTTTCGTTTAATGACTAACCTATAACTAACGTTTCAGTGTCCATCAAAACTGATCATATTAATAACAATTCGGTTGAACGGTTGATAAAAAAACAGGATCACTCTGAATTTAAAATTAGTAATATAAAGAACACAATATTTAAAAAAAAATCAACTAAAAATACTACATAATAAAATAAAATATAGAAACAGTATATTATTAAATATTTATTATTTATTATTTTTCGTTAAGATAAAAAAAACACAAGATAATAATATATTTCTTATGTAGAATAGTTAAATATTTTGTGGTTATTCAAATAAAACCACGATCAACCCAATACGGCAATATCGCCAATTATGGATAACAAATATTTTTTACGTTGAATTCATTCTTAAAATAAACAGGTAATCAAACTAATAATTTTATTACCTATTCACGAAACAACCTATAAGTTCTGACGGCCAGATCTGAAGTAAAGCAATATAATATTATTATTACGAATATAATTGGATTAATAATTTTAATGAATGTATTTAAACGAAATCCCGTGTACCAATAATAATATACCTATAGTATAATATTTGCCATTTGGTGTATCAAGTAGTTTCCTCAGTGTTTCAGACTGAATGACTTTGCGTGCAAAGTACGATAATTATACAGTATATAATCACACAACATATATGTGTATACAGTAGTCAGTATTATACCTATATAGTCACTATAAAAATTTTGTATTATGAATTGTGCAACGAGAAAATTTCCGCCTGTAATATAGTGCTTACCGTAGCCCCAAGCTTTTAAAATACACACACGACACGACGATATCTATTTAATAGGTATATTTTGCATTATAATATCATGTTTACACCTATGTATAGGTATGTACACTGTACAGGATTGTTCTTTTAACAGTGAACACTCATTATGTGAGTTGATTTTCATTATTTTAGATTCGGAGCGAGGAATGTAATATACTCGTTTTACAAAGACGTTATATTTTGTTGTTTTTTGTTGTTTTGTGTCCGTCATCACGTCTCGTCGTTTTGGAGCACAATAATATTTATCATTGAGTTCAAATTAAAACGACCATTATTACAGTGACCTATTCAATAACGACATGGTACATTTTAAGTCGTTACAAAACAACGTTTTTGAAAAAAATAAAATTATATTTTATTACAATTTTTTATCTTTATTATTTTTGAAGTTTTGTTTTTTTGAAAGACAACGTAGGAACAGTTTTAATTTGTATTCCTTAGCTGGATAATATTAGGTATTTAGATGCATCAAAATTAAATTTCGGATGGGTACAGATAATTAGTCGAGTTAATGACCGGATTTTGGCCCCTGAGCCACTTCCGCTCATCATCAGTATACTATAAAATACTTATAACTCACGTACTTTTCGTCCAAAACTCGTATTCCAAAAAATGTTCTACTTTACAGAACGGAATTAAAAAATGAAGTTTTCATTAAAATAGTAAAAAGAAAAATATTAATAAAATATTGTTTTTCAATGACAAAATCATATTTGAAAAAAATATTTTCTAAAAACGTTAATACTTTTTGAAATAATAAAATCATGTTTTTATGTTCGATAAAAGAATTGTATACTCCCATATAAATATTACGGGGTTGAATACAATGATACAACATAAACGATTAATAATATATTATGTCGCATATCGAGGGTCCTCTGGAATACTCTCTGTGATAGAATTGATAATATCAACAGGTGCGTATTGTCGGTGCTCCGAATCACGCTCGATGATCGTAATAATTAATGATTCGGACGACTGCAGCAGACGCTGAACAGCATTTCGCATTTCGCAGCGTCGTTTGACCAGCGATTCGCGCACGGGATAGGTACTTTCTACAATAATAATGTTATATTTTGAAATAATTATAACGTGACCGCCCGCAGGAAACGTATCCGAGGAGCTCGAGGGCCGGAAGATTTTCGAATTCAAAAATCGAAACGCTCTAAAAAAAAATCGTTTTTTCCTTCCCCGGCAACCGGTTGCTCGCCGTCAAATAACCAATAATCGATAACTTCATACGACGACGACGATGATAATGAAAACCGGAGCTCGAGCGATTACGCGAAATATAATATAAATAATAATATTATATTGTACACCACGTGACGGTGGGTGGGGGGAACGAGCACTCACGCGCGTCTCCCGAGTGTCGATCGCACGTCGATCCGTCTGTGCAGTCCGGCGTACATCGCGCCAATCGTCGTACCTCGTCGAGCACGTGATGACGATAATAATATTATAGACGTTATTTTTTTTTTTTTTGAACGTCAGATTTACCGTATCGAGAAAAAAAAATCGTAAGTGCGATACAACGGTTCCATCGTCCACGAAATTCAATACAGTATAATAATATCATTATATTATAATATATACCTACGCCGGAGAGTACAACCCCGGGAGACGTCATGTCCTCGCCGCACGCCAGACGAGTGAATCGAATCGCGATCATCGAACCGGGGGTGCCGACGATCCAGCCGATATTGTAAAAAAAAAAAACCACTCAACGACGATCACAATTATTTCATACCGTCGTCGTGTTCGGTACGATAACGATAATAATATTATATAGCAAATATAGTTGTACTCACCTACCGGCGGGCAACGTAATATCGTCGTATACCGCCTATAAATCATCCTGCAGCCATGTCTGCCGGTCTCAAACGGAACATCAACAACAATGTGGTCGACACCGCCGCCGACCGGAAATGGAGCCCGGAAGTCCACACGAAAATATTCATACCGCCCATCGGCGTCACGGAACCCCGACCGAAATTCACCAAAGGTAGGACGAGACGAGTGCAGCGAGCGAATCCGCGATATGACCGTCTCGAACTGCACCGGTGCAGTATAATATAATATAATATTGTTAATTATACTTCGATACATATACTTATATCATATCATGTGACATCATTATTGATATTTTTTTTCCTCTGCCGATCAGTAAAGTTTTCCCTCTATTATTTCGTTTCCACGCCGACACTTTTCGCTAACTGTAAAGATAATGCACCGAGCGAATCCGATATGACCGTCTCGAACTGCACCGGTGCAGTATAATATATAATATTGTTAATTATACTTTGATACACATACTTATATCATATCGTGTGACATCATTATTGATATTTTTTTTCCTCTGCCGATTAGTAAAGTTTTCCCTCTAATTAATTCGTTTCCAAGCCGACACTTTTCGCTAACCGTAAATATAAGTGGTACCCTGCATACTGCAGGGCGCGAATCCGATATATGACTGTCTTGAACTGCACCGGTGCAGTAATATGTTACAATATTTTAAAGTTTATTTACATCGATAGTCTATACATAATATATTTATATAATATTATATGACATCATTATTAATATTTTTTTTCCTCTAATCTCTGCCGATTAGATTTTCCTCTATTATTTTATTTCCAAGCCGACACTTATTTAGCTAACCGCAAAGACAAGTGGTAACCCATTACCGATCATGTTTATACATTTATAATCACGAGGTAATTTCGTCACGTTGTTTTATAAAGGTAGCGTGTATTGTGATTTGTGACACATACGTAGCTGCAGCACACGCATGTGATATTTCTGGTATACCAACTCATCAACCACACATAATAATAATATATAATATTGTAATAGTTAGGCTTTGGTACGTATATTTTAGTTCAATGAACTGTTTTATCAAATTTATTTTAAAAGTAAAATGGGTAGTGTTTGAATTTAAAGTTCATTCACACTTTTACAATGAAATTACGTTTTGACGTTGAACAATAATTGATCGGTGGTGTTTCATTATAATCAGAAAATAAAGATTTTTTTTTTCTCAAACAATAAGTTAGGTACACGTAAAAATAAAAACAATTATTCAATTATGCGGCTTTTAAAAAATTAATAAAGCCTATTATGGTTCTTCGTTGACTCTTGAGAGGGGGCATCTGTAAACATTATTTCTGTCTTACACACATAGAGTATAAAAAAAATATTAGTGAAAACTTAGAAAAAGTGATTACATTATTAAAATTAAAGTATCATTAGCTATTATAACAATACAATTATAAAATTAATGTTATCTGTGTTTTGATACTTTTTTAATATTTTGATTTTTAAGAAAATTATGAGTATTTGGTTTTTTATTTTTCAGTTGATTATAATTATTAATAACTTTCATAATAATAAAAATATTAAAAAATATTCCTGACAAAACACAGATAATGTTATTCTTTATAGTATAATAATATCGTTATGATATAACGTTATACATTACAATATAATGTACCTTAATTTCAACAGAGTAATCTCAATAAGTGAAAAACGGAAAGACAAAAGGTATTAAGTATTAACAATAAGACGCTAGTGTAAGACAGAAAAAAATTATACTGTTGTGCACTTGTGCCCTTACTACGATATTTAAATTTGTTGCTAACTAAATCAATGTACCTAATTGAATGAAATAATGCATGTTGTGTTAGGTGAGGTTAGGTATAGGTATTAAATTGCTTGGGTATAGTTTTGTATTTATTATTTGTTATATGCATAATATCATATCTTTAAAGTTAACACACGAATTTTTTTTTATAAATTTCTAGAAAATTTCATAACAGTCAAATATAAACATAATATTTTATATATTATGTTTATTTTATATATGTATGGTAGGAACTTTTATGAAATAAGATACTCTTCATTCATCTATTCCATAAAATGAAGATATTTCTAAAACACCAATGACCGGTTGGCGGTTGCATAAAACCTTAACCAAACTATAATATATAAAACTAATCTATGTGTAAACAGAATTTCAAACGTACATATCATATAGGTTATAGTCAGTTACCTAAAAGTTTTACGCAACCGTACAAGAGTATAAAATGTAAATGTAATATATATTTATATTTTATAAGTACCTATATTACCAGGATATTGATTTAACTTAATAACTTTTTAGGTGGAGTAATAAAAACTAGCTTTATAGTTATTATTATACTATTACTAATTATTATATGCATAATAAAATAATATACAATACTAGAAAACTGGCCATATAATTACAGACCAAATTATAAAATCGAGTGTGGATATTTTCTTATCTAATTCTAGAGTATGAATTATATTTATCCATAGCCTATACTATACATTATTAATTATTATTCAATGTAGGTACTTATTTAATTATTTAGAACATGACGTATATTATACACAATGTAATTTAATATAATATCAAGTATTACCAAGCGTGGTAATACATTCAGTGATTCACCAAGCATCCTCTGCCCCATTTGTTCCCTCAATAATGAATTTATCAAAACTCTGATTATTGAGTATATTTAAGAAGTGATCTTTGGTTATTTCAGACCAACTATTTTATTCTAAAATGTGAAGAAGAAGATTTTCTGGAAATGTTGATATATACAAATCGATATTTGTTCGAGTAATTTATGAGCTATGAGACTTTAAGTAGGTACTCAGGATATTTGTCTATGATAACACGTTTAGAACATATTATTGGGGCTATGGTAATTTAAAAAAAATTAATATCTAGTAATTATTATTAATTGTTTAAAATTTCATAATTAGTAAAGATTATTCAATTATAATAAGAATGAGACTAAAAATTATTAAAGGCTATTTTTTAGGTGATGTACTATTTTTTTACCCTTAGTAGGTACATTAAGTTTAATAACTCAGAAAATATTCGTTTGAAATCCAATTTAGATGCGTCCACATTTTCAATAAAATCTGAATAACAACTTACAGTAATAAACTGAATAAATCAATCCCATCATTAAAAAATAAGTTTGTATTGCCGAGGAAAATCCCTTAAATGGAATAAAAAATATATGTATTTAAACATAATAATAATATATAATTTGGTCTTTAAGTATACTCAAAAATTCCAAAAACCAAAATTCGAATAAATACAATAAATTATCAAAGTAGTGGGTGCATTCTTGGTTCATCACCCCATACATTTATTCGTAATAAAATTCGACGAAAAGTGTTTAACTCACATATGGCAACGCAGATTGTATCAAAGTTTTCAAAGAAAAATGTTCCCACTTATCAGTTATACATAAAAAAGAACACGTCGTTCACGACTGGAGGTTGTTTGCGGTCCATGCGAAAAACACTAGCGATGTGGTTGTGGTTGAAAGAGCACAATTTCTGTATATCACACATTCCTTTGGCAATTGGCTTTATACACCTAATATGCTATAAAACCAAAATAATGGTGTGATGTAATTAGCCAATAGGTATATTATATCGTAATTCGTAGTGATGCACTAACGCCCCTTCGCCCCCTCGTGATATTATATCGACTATCGAGCCTGTAAATACCACCTAACTATACACTAATACATATATAATATAGGTGTATACCCATAAGCAGAAATCCGTTTAAATTATTTGTGAGGGAGGAGGGGTGATTGGTTTAACAATTTTTGGGTGAATAGGTAGGTTTCAAAACCATTAACATTTGGAAATTATTCTGTTACTTAAAAATCATAAAAAATATTAAATTTAAAAACTTAAACCATTTATATTTAAGTTCTAATAACCAATTTCTACATTTAATGGCCAGAAGTTCAATCACTCTGATATGGGTAGTCTGATCGTAAACCACATAGTAATTAGCGATGGGATTTTCTTCATATTTAATTTTAATTTTAGAATACTTGCTATAGCGAGTGGTTGTAAATCGCATTCACATCACAAATTATTTATGGATAATAAGGATGTTTTGTTTTAGTAAAAATATTTATCTAAATATTTAGTCATATCATTTTCATTGTGAATCTGCCTATACCTAGTTATTATCAACAATTTCTACGGGCACGATTCATATAAATCTAAAATATTAAAATTATTTTCCAATCGTTTGTAACGGGGCTCTGTTGGTTTTGTATGGGGGGGCCCTACCTAAGCCCCCTTACCCTGATTTCCGCCAATGAGTTTACCGATTACCGACAATTTTCCCAACGATGTCCAACCACGGCTGATTCTTTTTTTGGTTCAAAACGGGATTCAAACCAATTCGAAAAATATTTAGGCATTGAACTATTATGACTTTCTACGAGCAATATAATTGTCAATACCCGAATTACAACTCAGTACTTCTTTATCTTGAACGACTACCACTCCTAAGTTCAAAAATTGGCTCCAAATAAATAGAAATAATATTATGCAAGTATTCAGCAACGAAGCACACGCTTTATATACATTTTCCGAGATAGACTATATACTCTGTCCAGCGACAGAACATGCCGACTCTGCGCATCCCCGCGCGACACCTGTTGCCATCGAGAACGGTTCAGCCTCTCGTGCAACAGGGGAGGATGCGCAGAACAACAGCTGATATTAATCGGACCGCTGTGCAGTGTTCTGTCGCTGGACGGAGTATAGGTATACCTAAATATTATAAATGATGACCGTGAAAATGACGACTCATATCCAATATGTAGATACATGAAATAATACGTACCTAATATTAACGATTTTGGGTTTTCCAGCAGAAATCGGCGCTACGACCACTCAACAAGAGCCGCGGCGGAAGTACGTGACGACGGCGGTCTGCAGCAGCGGAAGTGACAGCAGCGACGGTGGATGTGCGGGTGGTGGTGGTGCCGTGGGAAGGGGCCGCCGGCATCCGGTGTCGCGGAGCGGTTCGTGCCGTGGCCAGCCGCAGACGTTGTCGCCCATGTCGGCCGGGGCGCTGTCGCCCAGCCTGCGGTCGCTCGGCGTGCCGGGCTCGCCTTCCGCGGCCGCGATGGCCATCGGCTCGGCGAACCACAACCCGACGATGTGCGCGTCGGCACACAACCAGCACCGGGACGCGTCGCCGCTCCGGTCGTGGTCGGACGCCGTGTCCGTCCGGTCACTGGCGTCCATCGGCATGGGTTCGACGGACGGCCGGAAGCTGACCATCGCCAAGATGCCCACGTCGCCCGCGGAACTGCTCAACTTGGCCAGCCCTCAAACGTAATATATACCATTTATATAGTTGATTATTTGATTCGAATTTATTTGATTTATTGATTTATTTGCAAACAAACGACGTTGAATACACTTGAATATAATATAATAATAATAGATAATCGTCTGATCACCTTCCATAAGCTGTGCTTGTATTGAAGGTGATGAGTTTTTAATATAGACATTTAAATAGGAAACGTAATTATATAAATAGACTAAAACAGAAAACAATAGATTAGGTAATGTTGATATTATTATAATTTTAATATTTTAATCTCTCTCTTTCCGTGGATCTGAGAATTTTAACACGTCCGTGGGGATAATAAAACGATACGCCGCATGTTCGTTGAAATAACTGAGATGTTACTTAAATATTTCATTATATTGATATTATTAAACACCCTTAAAAAAAAGAGAGATTAATATTTGATAACAGTTGCATTTCATATTTTCATGCATATAGGTAAATTAGTAGGTATATCTATATTTGCACAGAAAATAATATTATAAAACAACAAACAATTATTGTATGATTCATATGGTAATTTTTTTTTTAATGTTCATCGGCAAATAATTATTCAATTCATTTACATTTATAATATATTTATTTAAAGATATTAGGTATATTTTAAAGTGTTTGCTATTAAATAATATTCAAATAATTTGAATCATACAAAAATCTAAATTTAGTACAGCCTATAGTATAGGCCTTATATATACCTATACAGTAAAGTATTACAAAATAATGCCTTTGATTTAATATTGAAGAGTAGATATTTTGTAAATTAAACAATTTCTTATACAAAAAGTATTTGTCATAAAAATTTTATGAACATTCGAAATTGCAGTAGACTTTTTGAAGATTTTAGGGAATAAAATTGTTAATTGTTATGGTATCATGATCTGAAAATGTAATAAGTACAAGCTTTATTGTAGTATTATATACAAATACATAGTTCTAACTTTCAGAGTTCTAACACTTCTAACTGTTTCGAAAATGTTATTTTGATTGCATTTGAAATCGATGTCCACGTGAAACTACTATTTTTTTCAATTTACTCATCTCGTTTTCAATGATTAAGATGACCAAACGCATCCTTTGATTTGACTTGCTACTTATATACAGCCGATCTGTCACTTGTCTGTCAATTATTATAAACAGCAAAATACGTCGATGTGTACGATTTACACAACAAAAAATTAAGAAAATATTACGACTGAGGACGAAACCCCGGTTTCCCCTCCCCCCTCGATCTTGGCCTGTATCTGCAGTCTCTCTCGCTCTGTCTTCGTCGTATTATATTATATTCGGCTTTTTCTTCCGTTATTATTATTTATACAACGGCACTCGTGTGGGCTAGTCTCCATATAGTGTGTATAGTGTATACCTATCGTTATTCGCACGACTTATGCACGCCCATCATAATGGCATTCTGGACGAGCCCTGGGCACGGCAACCGGTGGCCGGTGGTAATTATTATGCGTATCGAAACTATTTCGCCAACCAGTTTTTTTTTTTTTTTTTGCGATGTTCTTTTGCGCCGAGTACCTACTTACCGCGATCGGTCAACATAATTGTTATGCAGGAAAAAAAAAACGAAAAGAAAACAGTCTTGTATATGTATATTATGAGAAAAAATTGTATATACTAATACTATAACGATATGGCCACTACACATTAGTATGATATTATAGTAAACCGTGTTCAGACGACCACATATACCAATGGTAGGTAATTATTAATTATACGTTATGGTAAATCTCCGAAAATCATTTTGATCTGCACCCGTTTATAGTGCTCGTATATAAAGTGCTAAAATGGTCCAGTCAGGTGGTTTTCGTCACGTATATAATATAATATATGTTCCGATACAGGTGTCTTATTCATATTATTATTACCCATTATTTATGATTTTCGAAGATTTACACAGTTACCGCCGCTGTACGCAGTGTCTTATTATTCTGCAGCGTGTGTGAAAATAATTTATTACACAGGTAATTGGTACTATATTATGGTGGTTGTGTAGGAAAATAAATCCATTGGAATAATTTCATTGAAATCAGTGAATCAATTTGTTTGTACCTATTTAAATGTTATCGTCCAAATTGCAAATGTCTGTACATGACTACATATTATACTTATCTCCACTAGGTACATGTGAAAAATATATGTTACAGAATTATGTAAGTATAGGTACGCACAATCGCACTACACGTGTCGAATAAAAAAATTCTAAGAGATTGGTCATCAGAAAATAACCGTATCTATAGATAAATAACAAAAAATTGACGACACCATTAATTGTATATACCTAATAAAATCATTATGATGATCATTGTTGTGTTAGGCTATCGTGGGTTTTGCTTATACAGTTAAGCCTATGTCCAATAAACGAGTTCAGTGTTCAATCGTTGCTCTGTATTATGTACTTGTGTTTGTCTGACAAGGTAAATAGTTCTAAAGATCATAGTACATAATTTGCCTATGTAGCTATAAATATATAAAACCTACGCCTGTTGTTGTTACTTGTTCCATTCAAACAGTGTAGTTTTATTTTAAATAAACACAAACAGGATTAGTTTAATGTTTGTTCTAAATGAAAAACATTTACGTTTTAGGTACCTACTTCATGAAAAACAGTATCAATGTAATATTATTTAAACATTTTTCGAAAAGAGTCTAAATATAAAATATTGTAGAACATTATATATATATACAATCATTTCAAAATATATTTTCCTCCGAGGAGGTTAAAAAGAAAATGGCCAAGAGACGCTCTTGCAGTCTTGCCTAACGGTCTCAATATGATATGAACCCATCAAATTAATTAGGAGGTACTGTTGATGGACGGTTTTCCCCCCTCAAGATATTCAAGACATTCAATCATTACTATTCACTGTTATCAAATTTACTTATTGTACAAACTGTATAGATTGTAAATATGCTTAAATAAATTAAAAAAAAAAAAAAAAAAATATATTCAAATATTTCGAATTTTCACATTTATCTACAAGCCATTATGAATCAAATGGACTTTATCGGATTATAACGGACTACTGACAATTCGTTTTTTATACCTACATATATAATATTTACATTCACATAAGTTTTGTTATTTCAACGAACCTTGTTATTAACAAAATTAATTATAATATGTCATATATGTACCTGAAATACCTTTTAACATTAATTGAAACAGAGTGCAAGGTTTACTACCTACGAGACATAAAGTCATAAAATTCTTAAGGGGATTGGAAACGGTGATTTTCTGTCATTGTCTAACACACGCGGAACATAGGAATTTAGATGTGTTTTCATTCCAACGTATCGATTGATCTAGTGAAGCGATAATAATTCTAAAAACAGATTTTAACTTTTCATAATGTCTACTATTGAGATCGACTTTCCCACATTTTTGAATTTATTCCCCTAAATCCTAAAACAATTCTTATGTTCCACGTGCTTTAAACAAAAACAGAAAATCCCACTTGTACACATCATCTTTGAATAATTATAATTTTACGATAAATTGAGACAGCGCTACATCTATATGCCCTAACAGAGGATTGAGAATAACTACATAATTCCATCACTGTAATTTAGCATACAAGCATCACAATAATTATGGAAAAGTAGAAAACCGACATTTTTAGTTTAATAAATAAAGTTTCATAAGATATTTTGTTTCCAACGTTTTATTTTTTCTAAATAGTATAAAGGAATTATTAAAAACAAAGTTTTTGATATTTTTAAATAAAAGATATTTTATTATGTCTTATGACTACTACACTTTGGTTAAAAGATTGTCCGTCTTATTGTTGGCAAATATTCGCAATTATTCTGCCTAGATTTTACCTATAATTTATGACATGGGTAGTTATTAAGGTGTCATAGGTAGTTTCGTATACAATACTATCTATACTTTTAAGCAGTTGTAAATCTAGAAAAAATAAAAATGTCCATAAAAATTTTACTCTTTATTATTTTTTGTTTTGTAGGTACCTAATGAAATATGTATGTTTTTTTTCTATCAAAATATGTTGTTACATTTACACTGTACATAATAATATTATAATTCCCCCTCAAATTAGTTGTTAAACACTCGTATATATTATACGTTTGCGTTCAGTATTTTTTTATATGATATTATTTTTGTAGCCATAAAATACAATAGCCGCCATGTACTAAAGTAATGATAAACCTAACCTATTATTTGCGAATTATAAACATAAAATACGCACATGTACAAGTGCTGCGACCGCATAGATGCCAACATAATATACCATAATATTATATAGATCGATCTCGAGTATAAGTGCGAAATACACTTAAACACCTACGACATTGTACCTGGCCTGTTATAGTAGATTTTCTCGTAATCTCGTGGCTTATACATTGCAGATAAATACAGGGGTCAGGGGCATTACCCATAGGTATAAAATATTAGAGGTGTGGTCAAAATAAAAAATATCTCAAAATGTGAGCTAAATTAAGTCTTAATGTTATTATATTTTAACATATTATTATTATATATTATGGTATATGTATTAATAATATTAATATTAGTTGTATCGTTATACACTAAATTCATATAGGTAGTACAGTAAAAGTAAAATTATTAAACCGAATACAATCAATTAGGTATAATGAATGTGTAAATATATTGTGTAACTCGATATATCGATAAATGAAAACTGCGAATTTCTTCGTTTCATTCCAAACTCAGTATTTCAGGTAATATTGACGGCTCAAATGAAACCATCCCCGTACGAGTTCGCCCTTTCGCTATAAGCGTTTGTTAAATTATAAGTTCGTATTTTTTCCGAATGTGGGTGAGGGCAAGTGCATGTTAAAAATGATTTAATACTTTGTCAAATAAAAAACGGGATAAACATTTTACAAGTCAATACGATGGTTTTCAGTAAAAAAATGTATAGATATACCGGCACGTCACCCACCCCCCTGCGATACAGCCGATAACAATAACGAGCTATTGCGCACGACTTGTG